CTGGGAGCTTCTTTACATCCTACAAGGGATTAAGCCTCGCATATTTGAAGAGCTTGTTACTCGAGCCCATGACATGGAGGTCAGCATAAAAAATCATGGTGTTAGGGAAGATGTTCCTAATATACCCGATAACCTTAAAGAAGATAAGGGAAGTGAGTCCGAAGAAGAAGGCAATATACTTTCTAACTCGGATGACGAAGTAGCTTCATCTTTCATTATAAGCATCATCTCGAGAAACTTGCATCAAGAAACACACCATGCTACAACAATGACTTCAACTGAAAATGCCAAATCACAGGGGGCAAATTGTGTTCATCGCATGATATCAAAAGTGATTCGTCGCACCCTATCAACTTGGCATGCCACCAAATTGTAGTTGCAGACAATAATTTTAGTTCATCGCCAAGTTGTAGCTCCAAAGGAAAATTTGATCCGTCGGCAAAGTGTAATTGCAAAGAATAAGTTTGTTTTGTCACCAAAACGTCATTGTAAAGGAAAAGATTTGGTTCGACGTCAAGGTGTTGCTAAAAAATTTGACTTGCCACCAAGGTGTCACTGGAGAATCCAGTTCATCGCCAATGTGTTGCTGCAACAAAATTTTGACTCACCACCGAGGTGTCCTTGAAAAAATTTCTGCTCGCCGCCGAGGTATTGCTGAAAGAGAAATTTGGCTTTCAGTTGAAGTGTCGTTGAAGAAAAAAATTCTGCTTACTGCCGAGGTATTGCTGAAAAAGAAATTTGGATTCTTCATTAATCTAATCAAGATCGAAGTTGGTGAAGTCATAAGTGGCTTTGCATGTCTAATGAAGTTGAGAATTTAATATCAAGTCCAATTGATTCTTCATTAATCTGATCAAGACTAAAGTTGGTGAGTTCGCATGTAACCTTGTGTGCTCAATGAGATGAACAATTCATTGTCAGGATCAAGCATTTAAATGCGTGTCCAAAGAGATGAACAATATTCATTGTTAGAATCAGGCATTGCGACCAAGAAGTGAGTCAGATATACTTAATGTGGTTCCTTGGCTTCTTCGACTACTTTCACTTTCTAAGATAGTCATCTTTTGCTTTGTAAAACACTTGAATACCAACATGATGGAACAACAAACAAAGTTTGAAGCTCGATCGGTGCTGTTTGTGAGAAGGACTAGATCTTATGCTTTGCAGAATCCGAAAAAAATAAAATAAAAATAAAAATAAAAAAAGAGAAAAAAGATTAAAAAATAAAAAATAAAAAAAATAAAAAAAAAGAGAGGAAGGAACTCACCAACAAATCTTGACTTATATTGCTGAGAATTGTTGAAGACCAGTCCACCGTATGCAATTAAAGTCTGAGATTTGGAATTGATATCAACCCTATAGCATGAATAGGTATATATAGTCAATAAAATACCTTTTATTTGTACTAGGATTTGTATAATTCAGTTCAAGTTGGAAAGTAAAATTCCAATCCAAAGTTGGATAGAAAAAACAAATACTTTCTATTTGTAATAGGATTTGTATATTTCAGTTCAAATTGGAAAGTAAAAATCTTACAATCCCAAGTTGGATAAGAAAAAAATGCTTCCTATTTTTATTAGGATTTGTATAATTCAATTCAAAATGGAAAGGGAAATCTTACAATCCAAAGTTAGATAGAAAAGCGAAAAAGGAAACTTTACAAATTCAAAGATCAAGTTGAATACTTCAAATCCCACTTGAAAAAGGAGACAAGTTCGGTCAAACGTGGGACTCGAAGTGGGGGCAAATTGTAGACATTAAAATTTTATGAATTTTTGTTTTGACAAATTGACCCATTAAATATGGGTCTCATGTTTAATTAAATTATTTAATTGGCCCAAACTTAGTCCACTTAAATTATTTAATTAGCCCAGCCCAGATGATTAAATGAAAAGATAATTATTCCTAATAAAATATATTTTGAATAATTATTTTTAAGGATAATTATCACAATTTAACCGGCATGGCTCAGTTATGATTTTGTCTTTATCAAGAGAGGACATGTATCATCATCCTATTAATCCAAGAAGCCTATAAATAGAGGCATGGAGGAAGGGGGTGCAAAAATTTAGAGATCCTAGAAGTCCAGAAATCCAGAGGATCCAGAAATTGAGAGACTCAGAAATCCCAATGGCTAAAAATCCAGAGGGAGAGAAATTGAGAATTCTGTAAATCCAGAATTCTAGAGAGAAGCTCTGCCAACATTCATCCTCAACACCCAAACTTGAAGGCGAAAAGCAACAAGCACATCAAATCATGTCGTTCTGCATCAAGATTCCACGATGATCAACAACAAGCACATCAAATCATGTCATTCTTCCACAAATTCTCTGAAAACGAAGAATAAGAAGCACATCCAATCTAAAGTTGTGTCGTTCTTCCTCAAATTCAATAAAAAAAACAACAAGCACATCAAAATCGTGCCGTTTTTTCTCCATGATTCAACAAGTTTGATGAATCACCACACAACACTGTTCAAGATCAAGCTTTGTCAGCCCTCGATCAGAAATCATCGGCGGTCTTCCTTAACTACAAATACTTGAAGAAAATTATCAACAACCCGATTCAAGATTAAGCTCCAACAACCCCTGAATCCAACCAACAAAGGAGATCGAATAAGCGGATATTTTCTTTATTTTGTAAAGAATATCTAAGAGGATTGTACTCGAATTTTCATAAATTAATAAATTTTATTTGCTCCCTATTTTGTTATTTATTTGTAGACTACGAAATTTGTGTGTATAGTAGGAAAGAAGCAAGAGTGGTGGAGGGAAAATATGAAGGAATGAACAAACTTCCTTCGTTCGGTAGACAGGTGACAGTGAGATAAATGATAGTAGGAGGGATTAGTCTTCTTCTTTCATCCTTTATAAATTTTCATCCCCTAAATACGGGCTGAAGAGAGGAGGAAAGACAAATGAGGCTATTTTTGATGTTTTAAATTACAATGTTGTACTAAATTATACAATTTGTAAATTATAATATTATCCTCTATAAATTACAATATTATAAATAGTGATGTATATCATGCTAAAAACATTTTTAAAACTCTTTTTTCTCTTCTCTCCTATCAAATCCAATAAATTGTAAACTTATTATCTTCTCTTTCATTCAATCGAACAAAGAAGGGGAAATATACAATATCTTCTCTAGGGATATCTCATTCATCATTTTTCTTTTCCTTCCATCTAAATTTTTTCTTTCTTACCGAATGAAGCATAAAATATATAAATTTTGTATTTTGAAGGGCATTTTGGTCTCCATGTGCACAAAATTCAACATACTCTGCTCACATGATTTTTATTTTCTTTTATATATATATTTTTATTTTTTTCTAGTTGAGACTCACACACACTTGGAAAGTAGAAGCCTTGTACTGCTAGGCCACAAGCCTGTTGGTTATTTTCTTTTATATTATATATTAGTTAGTGAGAAGGGGTCATTTGAGGTAGTGTAAAGAAGTTGAAGTGCTTATTTGATAAAATATTAGTAAAAATGGGTAATATGAAAAATAATTAGTGTAGAGCTGTTGGGTGATTTTACTCATGAAAATTAAGGCTGCACATAGCCACATAGATTAAATATAAAATTAAAATCAATTCGATCACAATGAATTCATGAAATTTGAAATCAATCAGATCGATTTTACACATTGGGCTTTTATAAATATTAAATTCAAGAAAAATACATTTGACATTGAATTCCAATTACAAGAATGGTAATTCATTAATTTCAGTTTCACTAAATTGAAAAATCATCAAAGCTAATTGTTGAGTCTTACGATAAAAAATTGAACCAGAAGAAAATATTATTACATATATGTATACTGTATTAATATATATTATATAGATAACGGAACGGATTGGATTGATTTTTTTTAGACGATTCGATTCAATTTTATAGATTATTTAGAGATCAAAGCTTAAGGAGCTCCTCACAGCACTCTTCAACAGATCGAATTGAATCACATCGGATTTAGAGGAGATCAAGATCAAATAAAATTTGGATCTTGTTAACATGACAAGTTTACATGGCTGGTTGTTATAACATTTAACTCTTGTGCTAACCTGTCTGTGTGATTTACCAACCGTATTGAACCTCACTCATTCAGGACCAAATGACTCACGCTCATCCATTATTATCTACAAATGTGCTCAACCATCCAATTTATGAACCGCTTGATTGATGGACAAATAGCCCATAGCTATTTTGGTGGGTTTATATTATGATGGTGTCCTTCACTACCCAACTGTAAGTCTCACTGATTGTCTCATTCAATTTCTTTACCAGCCAAGAAAATTAAGCATAAATCTAGGTGAAACAATCTCATCATCGTCTTCCTTCTTGCTTTGCCATTTCAACCATTCTCTCAACTAATCCTGCAAGTTTTCTCACTCAAAAAGTCTCGGTTTAAATGGCTTAGTGACTGCTGATTAATGGCTTCACAATTTCAAACTCAGACTATACAGAGTTTAGAAGACAAATGTCCAATACGTAAGTCAGTGAGGTTTTGTTCTAGCTTTGTTCCCGGAAACAGTTTCAGTGAGAAGCCGATAGTCTCGTGTCCTTTACATGGTCTCGTGTCCTTTACATGGTTCGCCGTATCGTCCTATTTGTGACATATCGAGACCCTTTTTCAAGTTCAATATATGACCCGTATCAGCCAATTTATATTGACCTTATCCGAGTCTGTTATACTGCAAACCGTGACCAATACTGTGAACCTTTCCTTTACAACTTAAATAGCCTACTAAAGTTTTGGTCTTTCGAAGGCAATGATCTTCGAAAAAGTCCTCACCTAGAACTCAATCTAATATATATATATATATATATATCGCAGTTCCTCACGGACCTCACCTAGAACTCAAACCCGTGACAGGAAGGCAAGGATTTTTGTTTTCAGAATTTGAAAAATCAGCCCTTTAACAGAGGACACTCCATTCACATTTTAAACCATTTCAACTACTAAAACAATTGACGGAAAATTATCAAGAAGAGTAGGTTATGAAAGCATAAAGAGCAGCGAGCGAAACCTGCTCTCCTGTTAATTGAACTGTAACTAAAATTCCGTGTTTAAGGGGAAGTTTTCTTACAAAGAATAGTACTTAAAAACAAAAGAATCCAGAAGAAAGAAGATACAAAAAAGAGAAAGAAAACCTTTGAATATTGCAGAGAGCATTGCCATTTTCTAATGGCTTCTCTCTATCTCCATCATAAACCTGCTGGTCCTGCTGACATAATTCTTCTCCTATCAGGTGGAACTAGGATTCGGTTCTGGAGGTGGAGGACAAGCAGGCCTCACTCCCGACCTCCAAATTTGCCCCCGACTGTGCTATTTCCTCGGTGCTGAAATTCAGTGACAGCCACAAAAGTTGGCTCGATTTACACAATCTGTCTCTCTCAAATATAGACTATTAGACTATCAATTTTCGCTACTCAACCTGCTCACCAATCAAGTCCAGACCCACCAGCAGGAAGGATATCCCCTGAAAGAGCAAGAAGTAGAAATGGATACCCTGAGCAGTCAACAGACTCCTTAGTGCAGCTGTGAGAAGAAGGAAGGCCAATGCTAACTCTTTCATATACATCCTGTTATGTTTCTTTTTCCGAGAAGCCATCTGCTCCTGATTAATTTCCTCCCGCATTTCATTTAAATCGGGCACTGACACGCCCCTGTGATGCTTTGTCTCTCTCTCCAGCAAAGCGCTAAGATCACCCTCCGAAGACCGGCCTGATTTCTTGGTGACAACCCACTCATATGCACTTCCAAGCTGGAATAGGCCAGAAACCATGGCATTGAACTTGGTCACTGACATGGTGTTTTCGAAAAGAAGGTAGGGAACAATGAAAGGAAATGATTTGGGGGCAGGCAGTATATTGAGAAATGACATAGCTGCTGGGACGTAACTGACAACCCATGCCGGAAGCTCAGCTTCTGGGACGAACATCGTCATTGGGAGAATTATGCAAAAAAGGGTGAACGAGTAGAAGGGAAGTATCAGTTTTCTTAGGAGGAAGAAGAGGAAAATTAAATTGGCCTTCTTCCCAATGCTGATCTGCATAAGCCCCAACAGAAACCGAATAATATCATCAGCAACTACAATCCAGATCATTTTGTTAAATACAGAATTGACGGAGCTAGAAATTCAACCTACAAGTGTTTTCACAGGTTCAATACCTTTGATCGGATAATGTCAGGCAAACAGAGACGAAACAACTGCATAGGCCCAGAATGCCATCTGTGTTGCTGCTTCCTATAAGCTTCATAAGATTCCGGTAATTCGCATTGGCACTGAAAATGGGGGAGATAAAGAATCATTGTCAATTCATTTACCACAAGAAATCTTAATAGCAGATGAGAACAAATTATCGCAACAAAGTACCTCCACATCATTTAGAAAGATGAATTTCCATCCATGGAGATGAGCACGGACGGCAATATCCATGTCCTCAACCGTAGTTCTCTCCAACCAACCGCCAGACTCCTCCAAAGCCTTTATCCTCCACACACCAGCAGTCCCATTGAACCCGAAAAAATTGAGAAAAATTCCATTCACTTGCTGCTCCACCTCAAAATGAAAAGCCAAATTAATGAGCTGCAACCTTGTTAGTAGGTTTTCATCCTTGTTCACAAATGACCATCTTGCCTGAACCAGACCTAGTTCCTTATTACCCTGCAATGTAGTGAATTCTTGTATACATAAGTAGCCAAATTTCCTCACACAGAAATATATAATACATATAATGCTTATGCGATTAAAGCATAGAATTATCAAGACAATGTGGTCCAATTTAAGAAATTGCAACACAAGATATAAAAAGGATTGCATACCTTGAAATGGGTAACTGTTCTTTTCAGGAAATCGGGGCTGGGTTGAAAATCGGCGTCGAAAATGGCAACAAATTCATACTCTTTGACATAGCTGCAATTCATGGCGGACTTGAGATTACCAGCCTTGTACCCATCTCGAATTACTCGATGCCTATAGACAATGCGGGCACCCTCATGCTGCCATTTATGAACCTCCTCCTTGATCATCATCTGCGTTGTCGGGTCGTCCGAATCGTCCAAAATTTGGATTAGCAATTTCGATTTAGGCCAGTCCAAGCAGCATACAGCAGCAATAGATTGCTGATAAACCTGATATGAAAAAATCCAAAATCAGACCAACCTCATAAATGCATATAGACAATAACAAATTGCATAAACAAATATATATATATATATATATATATATATATTAAAGAATAAAATCATTGGGTAATTTTTTAAAAAAATTACCTCTTTCTCATTACACATGGGTATCTGAACAAGAACCATGGGGAAGAAACCATCGTCATCTTCAGCAGACTCGAGATCGATTGCATCCAGTTTGGGGATGGGTTTGATCTTCTTCAACCGGATGTATAAGCAACCCAAACACAGAATTACCCTATCCAAACTCTGGATAAGGAACAGAACTATACACACATTGGTGAGTAATTGCAGAGGAGGAGCGAAGTACTCGACCCGCATCAAAACCCACCTTGTATAAATCGAATCAAACACGCCCCTCACATCCCATGGGGTTGACAATATAGATAGATATTGTATTTGCAGGTTGTGAGGATCAAAATGCCAACCCTTGTAATACGCGGCAATCTCAAACCCTAGTAGCAGAACAGAGAGCCAAAGGAACACCTTTATGCAGAAATAGAAACGGGCTTTAACGGTCAAGTTCTCGGGGGCAATATTGGCACTGGGTCCGGTATCGTTGTCGGGGTCGGCGTCTGTCCTTCCCGCTGCGACGCGGCGGCGGATGGCGGCGGCGACGCTGAACATTGCGGAGGCAATGGAGGTCAAGCAGCCGGCGGCTCTGTGGGCTTTGAGGAGGAGGACCCATGTGAGCTGCTTGGCGTTCTTGTTGCGGGATTTGTCGCGGTGGCGACCCGGCGACGAGTCGCCGTGGCCGTGGAGGAGGAAGTCGTCGTCAGCGGGGCCTTGGAGCTCGACCATGGACCAGTTGTTGGGGTTTTCCATCTTGACGATCACCGGCGTTCCTCGGTGTGGCTCTTTGGTCCACCAATCGAACGACGGTGCCATTTTGGGGTCGTAATCCCAAAGACCCAGTTCGCGAAATCAATGTCGGAGGGACTACAAGCTCGTTTTAAGGAGCTCAGATGGATCGAATGTAGATGACCCAGAACGGAAAAAGCTATGAATTTGATCCCATTTTAGAGAGAGAAGCAAACCTATGGATAATGAAGAAGAAGAAGAGAGAGAAAGTGGAAAATGTAGATAGAGAAATGCTAGGTGTTGGTATTGAGAGAGCTATGACTTGAAAGATGAGTCTTAAAGCGAATTACAGCTTGCAAACGAGCATAACAGAGGTAGAGAGAGAAAGGAGAGAGAGACTAACACAGAAATGGTAATAACCCAACACGTCTTTCTTATTTCAGAATGAAAATCAAAACTTTCAAACATAAATAGGCACGCCTTTGTCTTTTGATTTTTAATCTTTTGGTAAGATTAAAAATCTAGGAAAAAAGCAAAGAACAATCTAAAAACAAATAGATCAATCAATAATAATTAAAATTTCGTAATCAAAGGGAAAAAACGAAAAAAAAAAAATTCAAATCAAAAGGAGGAGAGAAAAAAAGATTTTTTGTTTTTCAGACAAAGACTTGTCCTTTGTGTTTTTCTTTTTTGAATTCCTTTTTCACCAACTTGTTTTCCAATATGGTTTAATAAAACCCAAAAACGTAAGCAATAGCCCCCACAACTCCAACCAAAGGCCTAAAATTTACAGATGCATAAGAGAGAGAGAAAATGCAGATTTTGTTGCAGCATCACAACAAGCATGAATATATATATATAAAAACACCTTTCTATGGAAAGATAGAAGCTTCAATGGTGCTTTCGTCTGGGTTAAATCTGATTTGAAAACAATGAAAAAAAAAAAGAATTATTTTTTTATAGTTTTGTTTTACAATATATATAAATATATATATATATGCAAATTTTTTTTTTTTTCTTTTCTTTTTTTCACACCGGAAAAGCAATGAAAGAAAGGGAGAAAAAAATTTGAGAAAATGTTTTTGTTTTTGGTTTTTTTTATTTTATTCAAAAAAATATTTTGTTTTTTTTGGTAATGACCAAGTCTGGCTGAGTAAAAAGGCAAAGCGGTTTAGTTACAAAATTAGCATAATACAAGCGCCTCTTATCACTGTTTGTTATGACTCATTCGCATCATTCACGCTTAACCAAAGACTAGCTTTTTCACCTCATCAAAATGAACATAATACATTCATCAATTGTTAACTAATTATCTAAATATACATTTATTTAAACACATCAATTATCAACCATTATCCTTGCACATATTTATGATGTTCTTTTCACCATTTATGATCCATTAATTTTGGTTAAATTACAATTTTTTAATTATTTTGATAAGTAACTCACATTATCATTTTGCAAAAACACCTATTATAAAGTGTGAGATAGCTAGATTAGAAAAAGAATACTTGTTTTTTTAATCTTCAAGAGGCTTGGAAGCACAAAAAGAGAAGGAAAGAGAAAAAAAATTATCGCATCTAAAACTAACTAATAGAAATTAATTTTAAATGTAATGTATATAACATATGAGATGTGATATGATGTTGAACTGTTTTATTCCAAGATTAATTACATAGTTGACGACATCGCTCATTCTTATGGAAATAATTTATGTCATCTTACTTTCATCAAAATACTTAGAGTTATTCAATTTTAAATTATTATTATATATGTATATATATACACATACATATATAGAGGATGTGTAACTATAGTTTTAAGACAGTAAGATTTAGTTAAGATTAGCTGCATTAATGGTAGTAGTATTCTTATTTAAATAGTTGAAACTGTCTAAAACACTAACTAGGTTTTTCCTTTATTTATTTACTTAATAAGTAAACAATAATTATGTGAGCGTAAAGCACGCGCTGGTGAAGCGGGTGCGGTTAGATTAGAATACTGTTCCCTCCATCAAAGGTACTAGATAAATAAACGTTTAAAAGGTCCAAAAAGGGCTTGGCGCCTTACTCGGTCACCGACAATTTCTGCAAGAAGAAACGTGGGAGAGAACAGCCATGGCTAATTTCGTAAAATCAACAGGGCAGAGGATAAGGTTGGAATAATAAAGAGCAGTGTCGACCGCCACCATAAATGATGGAGGCTCAGTAGTTAGGCTGTCTACGTAGGACTCATCATGTCTTTTAAAACTTTTACCTGGCCAATGAGTGGTCAGTGATGCAGGACGGGTACAGAGCTCCATACTGATCAGCTGTAGTGTTACTAAAGTCACGCCCTTTTAATGACTCTTTGTACTCGTCACATGACGCAGTAAAAAGTGTGAGCCGTTTGAATATTCAATTCCAAGGTTCTCTGTGTGAAAGGGACATGTCTGCTCGTATAGACCTCCATTTGGATAGATTGGATCCGACAAAATTCTATAATTTGAGTAATTATGTGTTACTGAATTTATATCTAATCCAGTTTATTGAAAATTTGATCTTTTAGAATGTGTAATTTTTTTTAATTTTAAAATATAAATTCGAAAAGTTAGAAAACTAATTTAATTTGGTTAGCATGGAGTAACAAGAAAAGTAAAAAAATAAAAAAATTTAAATTGTTTACCAGTTTAATTAGCATGAAAATAAAAGTTTTTAGAAAAAGTAACTTGTTGATTTTTTTGAAAATATTTCTTCTAAAGAATACGAGAAAATTCTAATTTCTCATAAAAGTTGTATCATTATTTTTTGATTATTTATTTTTCTTTTTCTTCATTGATATATTTAGAATTTATTAGGTTATAACTATATGACTGTTTAAATTGAGACTCTTCTCCACGCTCACAAGAGAAGTGAGGTATTTTAAAATAGTAGTAGAGTCCTAATATATATTGCAAACTTATATATATATATATATATATATATATATAGGAAGGTTCTCGCGCGGTCCAAAACAACGAACTTTTGAAAAGATCAAAAGTCAATTAGGAAAATTATATTTTATTACCTTACCAGACCTAACCATAATTAACCAAACGTAACCCTAATTGATTTACCATAATTAACCAATACCTTTATTCAATCTCTTTCTCTCCTTAATCTCTTCCATCGTCCTTGCAATCTCAACCACTAACATCATATCCACACCATCACAACCATCATCTTCACCACTATAGCCATAACACAATTACCACATTCATTTTCCAATCCAGCTCACTCTCTCTTCTTTTTTGAACTTTGATTTTTTTATTTTTTATTTTTTATTTTCTATTCTTTTGCTCTCTTTTTTTTTTATTTTTTCCTTCATGGCCTGCTCTCTTTTTTATTTTTTATTTTTTTTGTTAACCCATTATTCCACACTTCGTGAATAAGCTTTTTTTTTTTTTTTTTTGGTTCAAAGGATACCATTTTTTTAGGATTCGTAAATAAGTACAACCTCCAATAATGGAGTTTCAAACATAAAGCATATATTGCTTAATCCTGCCATGGAAACAATAAAAGGTCTCTAAATTTAGGTTTTCTGGAACTCCATAGCTCAATAATGAGATGGAAATTAAAAAAAAAATAGTGATGGTGTGGATATGGCGATAATGGTTGAGATTGTAAGGACGATAGAAGAAACTAAGTAGAGAGAGATTGAATAAAGGTATTAACCAATTATGGTAAATTAATTGTGGTTAGGTCTGATAAAGTAATAAAGTGCAGAAAATTGACTTTTGGTCCGTTGAAAAGTCCGTTGTTTTGGACCGCATGAGAGTCTTCCCGTATATATATATTCAATTACCAAATTTGTATTTGTACACACACACATATATATGCACAAATATATATTTATTTATTTATTCAAAACCCAATTGTGTATATATATACTCTTTAAGGGATGTTTATTACTTTATAGGGTTAAATGCAAAAAACTCTCCTGAACTATTGGCAAATTTGTAACAAACCTCCCCTAAACTATAAAAGTTGCAAAAAAACTCCTTGAACTATACATTTTTGTTGCAGATGACTCCTTCCGGCGATGCTCCGATGGAATCTCACCGTTAAATCCCCAATATATAATTTAATGACTATAATGCCCTTTAAAAGCATGACAGACTTTATTATCCTTCTTGCACCCCAACCTCTCTTTAACTTACTTTTATACCCAAACACGCCCTTATGTTTTCTATATACACAAACGCATACATATATATACGTATAGATGTACTGTTCATCTTCTTCGTATCTTTCTGGTAAAATAAATAAATAAATAATATATTACCGACCTAAATCTCTCAATGGTTCCCTATATATATATATATATATATATAGACACATCTATATTTGGAATGCAATTCATCCATCACAATTTGTTTGGAGAATCGAAGAATTTTCAGAGGAGAAAAAACAATTGATTCAGCAATGGGTCACATAAATATAGGGATGGATCATCAAATTTAGAAGCGGGTTTGAATGAAACAGAGTATTTGAAGCCCTAATTAGAGAGAGTGAAACCTAAACAGTACCACACTACTCCTCGTCAGAACCCTAACCTCGCCGGCGACACACCCCCTTTCCGTCTTCACACTCGCGGCCGAATTTAATTTCAGATTGAGACCCAATAACTTGTTTTGGCAAACCCAAATCGTGAGCATGGTCATCCGTTGTTCAAGTGACATAAAGGCTAAGCCTATAAGGGCAAAGTGAGTAATTTAGGAAAAAATTCTGCCCAGGTGTTCTACCCATGGCTTCACATTCACCACAAGGGGATCATTTGCTGTTATCAAGACTGCTTCATCAGTCACGTCTTTTTCCATTGATTGAGAATATGAATGATTGGCAATGTTCAACATATATATCCCGGCATATATATCCCAGACATATGGATCTCCCTTTCTTTGTGCGCGCCTATATATATATCTATACATATATGTATGGGAGAGATTGGGTTTTGGTGGGATTGATGTTTGTAGAGAGAGAGCATGAAATGGGTTAGAGAGAGAGAGACGATTAGTTTGGCTTCGTTTGGATACACAGGAGAGAAAATAAAGGAAAGGATTATAAGAGAAAAAAAAAAAAAAAAGGAAAGGATAGTTGTAGTTTATATTTATGTTTGGATAGATATGAGAGAAAAGAAAGGAATTGGCAATATTGTTGTTTTGATAACACAAATGAGAGAAAAGACGGGAAAGGATGATAATGAAATTACCATTTTACCCTTTTTGATAGAGTTAGGGCAAAATCATTTCAGCCTCCCAATCGCCTCCGTCGTTCTCTCTCTCTCTCTCTCTCTCCAACTAGAAACTACAAAATCTACAAGAATTAGAACATCAAAACCCATATCTCCGCATATCATTTCAGATTGTTCCAAAAATCAAAACCAAACTATATATATATATATATATATATATATATATATATATATATATATATATATATATATATATTAGCCTCCCCAAACTACATATATATATATATTTCAGTCTCTCTATTCTCGTATGGGTTTTGCAGAGAAGACAACAAATTAATTCGAATCGGTAAATCAGCAGCGATGGACGTGATAAAATCGCAACAAATATCGGAGAAGCCGATCGAGAAGGTGATAGTTCACCCTCTGGTTCTACTCAGCATCGTCGACAACTACAACAAAGTAGCCAGAAACACTCGAAAGCGTGTCATTGGAGTCCTCCACAGCAGTTCCTCAAAGGCGTCGTCGATGTCACCAACAGCTATGCAGGTTCGCCCCTCCATTTTCATCTCCTTTTATCCTTCAATTTCTCTCTCCATTCTTGAGATCTAAACTTGTCGTTACTGATTTTTATGCTTCCAATTGAACCATTTATATATTATTGTAATTCAAATGTTTGTCCTATAATTGTAATTCAAATTACATATATATATATATATATATATATATATATCAGCCTCCCCAATAGCCTCCCTCGCTCTCTCTTTCTCTGTAACTGTAATCAAAACCCATATCTGGCTGTCTCTCAACTCTCTTGCCCCTTATGTAATTTGCTCCATTTCTCTCCAAATCCTTCCAAATCTTGTCAATTTTGGAGGGATTTGGTTTTACTGTATTGAAAGGATTTGGAAGGATATGATATCCCTCCAAATCCTTCCCAATCCTTTCTTTTCT